CAATTATATTATAAACTGTGCACTATTATCAGGTGCAATGTCACTATGTGATCTATACCTACCTGCGTGTGTTTGATTTTATTCATTGCTTGTGTTTTTACACTATACATTCTAATGTATCTACGACTTCTGTATCACTTGGACACTTAATGTCCTTGTACACAGTCCAATGACAATAAATGCAATGAATTGAACTGAATTTCACTTCTGTTGTAAACACATAAGCAGTAAAGACACCTTTATGATTGTACATTGTTTCAGGTCATTTGTCCACTCATGACTGACTCTGTCACGTCTGCTGTGTGTGTTCTGACCCTGTGCCCGGTCAGTTTACAGAAAACACAATCAGATTTAGCAAACCACGGCCACAGTGTGAATGCAGAGGTGGGCGAATAAATTAATAAATTGCCCAGTGGATGGTGCGTATAAGCTAACACATGCATTGCAGGGCTCGGGGGCTATCCTGAGGCCAATCATTTAGCTAACACACTAATGAAAGCGTGTGTAGTGTGGCTAAGGGCAGCCACCATGGGAGGTACCTCTCCCCTCCCTCCTCGTGTTGGGGGCTGTTTAATAGGCTGGATGGAGCCAATGGGACTCCCAGGAGAGGTGTGCTGATGAAGAGGAAAACCTGTCGTCGTCTTCACTAATCACTGCCTAATGGCTGCAGTAACACAGGTTTTACAAATGTGATTGTACACGTGTGCCTGTGCCTCTGTGTGTGTGTTGTGTGTGTTATTGGCTAATGTTGATAATCTTGCTTGAATGTGTATATTCATGGTAATGTTCATATTCATATCTTTATGCAGTTGTTTGGTAAAAATGGGATTTACATAACAATTGGATAAATTGTCAGCAGGAAGTGCTGTAGGGTTTTTTCCATGTAATGCCATATTCCCTGAAACATGCACCAAAAAAATTTACATTTATTGCATTTTTCATCACAACAGGTACAATCTATGATCCAAATGTAAATCTGACATAGTATCTGTTATGACTCTCAAATGGGTCTGACTATGAACAAAAAAAACTCAAAACATGAAAGCTGCAGAGATAAACTAACAAATCAATAATAGTTTCAGAAAATTAATCGGAAACTATTGTCTGTTGCCATAAATATCAACGTTTTCTGATTCTACCTGATCCAACATGATGTTTCACTGTTTCTCAGTCATGTATGATTATAAATAGAATGTCTTCTGGTGCGACAAAACAAGATGTCACTGGAAGAACATTTGAATGGACAGTTTTCACTAATAATAAATTCACAAAGAAAATGATCTGTAGATTAAACAATAATGAAAATAATTATTTAGAGTTCTGATCACAATATCAATGATTATCAAAACAGCAGTAACACACATCTGTAGTTCCTATTTGGACCAGAGACGAAGATTTTATTTCATATGTTATTTTTTTAAAAATGTGAATTCACCTTACTCTAATATTAATACATTAAATACAAACCAGGACAATTAACTGTATATGTTGTTTTCATTTCTTTAATCCAAGAATAATAATGAATTTATACAAAGAGACAATCATGAGCGTGAGCTCATACTTTGTGATGTCAACATCAGTGTAGTTGTTTTCACTGTGTCATCTCTGGGTGTGTTCAACCCAAACAGATATAAGTTCACCTGCCACACCTGTCCGATCAACACACACACACACACACTCCGGATTTACCACACTGGTAAATCAAGTTATGCTGCATTCATGAATACCTGACGTGTATTAAGACGGTCAGTTAATTTCAATCACCATCACTATTACTTCCTGCGGCTCAACAAATAAATCACATATGCAATCTTTTGTGATTTTTGCTTTTGTTGTATAAGCATACATAGCACTTTAAATGGTTTTCTTTTATTGTCTTTTAAATATAATTTTAATATCTTAATTTATATATTTCATTTCTAATTGTTTTGGATCACCATGCCTATAAAATACCTTCTGTATGAATGGTGCAATATTAATAAACCTGCCCTGCCCTGCATTGCCTTAAATTTTAAGGTGTGTGTAGGTTGCAGGTTTAGTTTGCTTACAATGTCAACTGCATATAATGATGTCAGAGCTGCTTCGTAACAGAAAAACTATAGCAAACAATCAGCTGCAACATATCAGGGTTACACCCTGTTAGTCACCATGAAGCTGCACATGCATGTCAACATTTCATTCAATCACATTGCTATTGGTTGGACTAGGCCCCTTAGTTCTAGTGAAGGGAAATCTTCATTCTTCAGCTTACGAAAACATTTTGGAAAGTCTATGCTTCCAACTTTGTATGAACAGTTTGGTGAAAGCCCTTTTCTGCCCCAGTGCAAAAAGCAAGATCCATACAGGCATGGTTGGGGGAGTTTGGTGTGGAAGAACTTGAGAGCCCTGACCTCGACCCAATCAAACACCTTTGGGATGAACTAGAACGGAGATCATGAGCCAGACCCTCTTGTCCAACGTCAGTGACTGACCTCACTAATGCTCCTCAGGATGAATGGGCAGAAATTCCCACCGACAGACTCCAAAATCTTGTGGAAAGCCTTCCCAGAGGAGAGGACGCTGCAGGCTGGAGGGCCAACTCCATATCAATGCCTATGGATTTAGAACGGGATAAGATAACATAAGATAAGATAATCTTTTATTAGTCCCACAATGGGGAATTTTGCAATATTACAGCAGCAAGAGTCAAAAGTAGGCATCAGTAATAATAAGTAACATGCAATACTTAAGTGTTAGGAAATATAAGAAATGTCATAAAAGGTACCATGTGTGGGTGTCCCAATACCTTTAGTGTGTGTGTGTGTGTGTGTGTGTGTGTGTGTGTGTGTGTGTGTGTGTGTGTGTGTGTGTGTGTGTGTGTGTGTGTGTGTGTAGACGTTTTTAAAACATGTTTCTTAAAAAGTATTTCAATGACTTGATGAATTTATCATTCATCATTTATTTAAAAAAACAATTCCCATGATGCTTTTAGCTCTGAAACCCCCTTAGGTTTTTTCTGCCGCTGATTCTAATTTCCTAAAATCAAAAATCATTCAAATCCTGGTTTTTAAATTTCTGTTTTTCTTCTGGTTCTCACAAAACATCGCTCGACTCAAAGTGTAAAGTATAATTCTGCCGCTCCATCACAGCTGAAATCCTCCTGCTCCATTATCTCCAATCATTTTTCATGTCAACACAAAAATGCAGGATTTAATTGTTTGGTTTCTCTCAGCTGCTCTGCACTTTTTAAAAATCACACACAAGCGTTATTTTTTCATCACAGTGAAAGAACACGTCTCGTTGCCTCCCGGTCTTCAGTGTTAAATCCACGTGTCCACTGCAAGTTCAGATTCTACAAGTTTCAGACCTGCACCAGAGTCCAGACGTTCTCCAGAGGTTCTGTATGTGAGACGTGTCCGACAGTTACTTTTCTGTCTGGTTCTTTACTGACGTGTGTTAAATGATGTTTTACACTTATCTAAGATAAAGAAGAGTGTGTGTGTGTGTGTGTGTGTGTATGTGTGTGTGTGTGTGTGTGTGTGTGTGTGTGTGTGTGTGTGTGTGTGCGTGCGTGCGTGCGTGCATGCGTGTCACCCCCTCTCACCTCTCCTCTCTCTGTTGCCATCTAGTGGTTAATATTTCAGAAATTCAACCTCACACACACTGAGACACTTCTCACCTCTAACACACACTTTACACTTTTCTTTAAAAAACATTTGAACACACACTCTCTGCTGCTTCTTTCCAACACACACACACACACACACACTTTTCTTTTTGAAAGACACACTGGTCTTTGAACTCTATCTCTCTCTCATGCTCTCTTTGAAACACACAAACACACTTCTGCTTTTTGGCTTCAACACTCATTTCAAACACACTCTTGTTTCTCTCTGCAGCAGTGAACACACACTACTCTCTGATACCTTTCTGTTTTAACTGTTTCTCACACACACACACACACACACACACACACACACACACACACCCTGGCCGGTGTGTGTTTCCAGCGTGCAGCAGCAGAGATCGAGCGGCGGCTGACGCTCAGTTAAAAGCTGCTGGGTGGGTCCTAATTATTTCTTTGAAGACTCGCTTTTCCTCCCTGTCTGAGCTTCTGACAAGCTTCACTTTAAAGAGGCCAGACACACACACACACACACATACACACACACACAGTATCACACAACCCTCCTCATCTGTCACAGGAGACTTTAATGTTGACTCCAGATTTATGGCAACAAAATGCAAAAGTGTAAAAGCGTGTGCACAGTGGTAGTTACTGAAGCTCCAGAGCTGCAAGCAGACGCACAACAAACCCACAACTGCACCATGAATATCTCTGCGTCGATAAAATCACATGTGAGAGATGTTTGTTTATCTCAGTTGGGGAACCACTGACCTTTGGCCCTCTCTGGAGCCGGGGTCCTGGCCCTGCACCGGGACGACAAGACGAGAAGAAGGAGGTGAAAATATTAGAGGAGCGTTCAACTTCACTTCTTCTTTCCCACGACGTTGTAACATAGGAACAAAATAAAACAAGGCCAGAAGTGTTTCAGAACGTTGCACCTGTGGACGATCGTGGGCGTTGATCTGCTGCTCTAACAGACTCCGCTCTGCTGGTCTCAGACTTTATGACCCGGCTGCTTCCATTCAACCTCAAGAGCCGACACTGATGTTGGCTGATAAGAGCCGGCTCCCAGGAGACGCTGCAGCTCAACACCACAGCCCTGGATGAGACTGGTGAGCAGGACTGTGTGTGTGTGTGTGTGTGTGTGNGCCAGTTGTATATTGTGTATATATTGTATATTGTGTATATATTGTATATTGTGTATATAGTGTATATATCGTGTATATAGTGTATATATTGTGTATATAGTGTATATATTGTATATATTGTGTATATTGTATATTCCATATCGACCGGACCAAACTTTCTCGCACTCTTTCCTCTTTTACTGCTTTATTTTGAAGACGGAACGCAGCACTTCCTGTTCCGCCTCCACTTCCTCTCGCTGACTTTACACTGGACTCTGCACAGATTGACACGTTTCCTGTCCACTCGACCAATCACAGCGCAGCGTCACAGCCGGAGTCACCATTTACGTCCTCATACGAAACCTCCGCGTGTCAAGGAAACTTCAGATCAACTTTTGTTTTGTTAGCGGAGCCACACAAACATGTGTCCGGACGGCTGGACGTGATACTGGGACTATAACCTGTGTGTGTGTGTGTGTGTGAGAGTGTGGGTCCGTGGGTGTGAGACCCTGCTGTGTGTTTGTGCGTGTGTGTGTGTGTGTGACAGCTCTAATGTTTGGAGCATGCCACGCAGGCAGCTGATCTCCACGGAGCTGAGAAAACCTCCCCTTCAAAACACAAGAGGCGTCTCTTCAACTTTACTCGTCCTCCAGAGGAACTTCCTGTTGTGAAGAGTTCTCCTGATGATGATGAAGGTGAGGAGATACATGAGGGACAGTGGGAGGGTCCTCGCCTTCGTGTTCGTCGCCTCTGTCATCTGGCTCCTGTTCGACATGGCTGCGCTGCGCATTTCCTTCAACGACGCCAGCAGCCTGCTGCTGAAGGAGAGGATGATGAAGGAGAGGAGGGTCTCCAGACTGCAGGCCACTACCACCCAGCCGATGAAGAGGAGGTTCAGACACCCGGTGCAGAAGGTGCACCCTGCTGTCACACACCCGGGGAGAGGCTCTCTCAGCCCGGGCATCGTCCTGGCACAGGTGTACAGACGTGGAGGAGGGAGGCAGGAGCAGCTGATGAAGGGGAAATCTGTGGATAATCAGCCCAAGGAAGGTGTGTTTAAAACTGTGGCTCCTAGACATGAGGGAGGAGCTGTCACACCAAAGCATGGCGCTCCCGCAGAGAAGAAGGCTGTCAACTTGGATCTGACTGAGGCAAAGAAAAGCAGTGTGGTAGATGCTCCTAATAAAGTGGGGTTACCTGCTGAAGGGTCTGATAAGATCCAGGTGCCACCAGGTGGAGAGAAAACCAAACAACTTGCTCCTCTGCCGCCCTCAAAGAAAGAAGCCGGAGCCATTGTGGAGAAACCAGACTCAAAAAAAGCCCAGGATAAACTGGCCAAGCCCGAGGAGGCGCGCCCGGCTGAGACAACACCCAAACCTGTCAGCAAGGAAAAGAAGCAGAAAGAGCAGGTGAATGGTAAGAAGGATGTGGCCCCAACAAAGCAGCCGCATAAACCTGTGGTGGAGCACCAGGCAGGAGAGGGTTCAAAGGTCACCAGAAAACCAGGAGGTGTCCACAAAGTGCTCTCTCTGGATGTGACTCTCTCTCCCAGAGACGCCAAAGCTGTGGGACAGTTCGGTCAGGCTGTGCTGGTCGGCAGCAACGAAGACTCAGAGGTGAGGAGGAGATGGGATGAAGGTCATTTCAATGTCTACCTGAGCGACCAGATCCCGGTGGACCGCGCCATCCCGGACACCAGGCCCGAGATGTGAGTGTCCCTCTGCACGGTTTAACCTCTCACACTGCTTCAACTGCAAATCTGAGTCGTCCCTTGTTTTTTCTTTTTGCACTTGTGCTTTCAAGGTGTGCGGGCAGTCTGGTCCACGACGACTTGCCCTCCACCAGCGTGATCTTCTGTTTCGTGGACGAGGTGTGGTCGACGCTCCTGCGCTCGGTGCACAGTGTGCTCAACAGATCTCCAGAGCACCTGCTCAAAGAGATCATCCTGGTGGATGATTTCAGCACCAGAGGTAACAGTGTCCTGAGGGTTTCACAGGCAGAGGGTCTCCACAGGGCAACACCAGAAAGCTCATATTAAAGGCATAGTTCACCGAAATTCATTGTCTACTCAGCACTATGCCGAAGGAGGGGTGGGTGAATAGTTTGAGTCCACAAAACACTTTTGGAGTTTCAGGGGTAAAGGGTGTTTTAACCAAATCCAATAAAATTGAAGTAACAGGGGCGGATTCTTCAAACATAAAAATAATAAAATGCCTTCATACTGCTCCTGTGGTGTCACACCACATGATGCCGCTGGAGAAGAATTTGAATGTCGGGGCTTCCGGACACTTGGATGACTTATACATCATCAGTCATTAATAAATCTACTAGCTTTAGCTCTGCTGCATAACTAGCAAACACAGTCTTCAGATGTCATCAGCAATCCTGGAAGTTTAACCTCAGTGTTTCTAATGATCATTGATATTGTGACGTGCTCATGTACATTTTCTTTTTTTCCTTGTGTGTAGTATTTTCACTGCTCTCTTGTTCCCCTGTAGATTATCTGAAGGAGCCTCTGGACAAGTACATGTCCCAGTTTCCCAAAGTGCGAATCATTCGCCTGAAGGAGCGTCAGGGTCTGATCAGAGCCAGGCTCGCTGGGGCTGCTGTCGCCGAAGGTAAGATATCATTACACTGTCTTCACTGAATGGTTCACACATACACAGGTGGTTGAGGACTGAATGAGGGTGTGAATAAGAATCCATGGTCGGACTTTGAAACTCAAAATACTCCTGTCTTGTTTGTGATTTGAGGGATTTACTAATAATTTAAATAAATGATGCTGCCAAGTTTTATAATTTAAGCTATGCACTGAGTCAACGCTTGACAATTGTATTTCTTGCTTCACAAGCTTATAGCTGCTGTTGTATGACACTAACAAACATGACGGACAGAAACACTGCACAACCAGTCATACAGGTCTGCAGCCATGTTTTTGCAGTTCCCATTAAAGAGCCCATCAGTTAAGAAGGTTGTAGACATTTTTCAAGTGCGTGTTGTAGAATTATTTACAGACTTTTTAAATAGAAAGCAACCAGTTGGTTTAAAGCAACAATATAATAAAATTAGAACATGCTTTCTCAGGCAGTAAACACATTACAAACATACACAACTCACCACTTTGTGGTTTAGTTGGTTGAGTTTTGTCTCATGTATCATCATCTCTGTTTGTGAAACTCTAAATAGACACAGATACATTTACAGAAAATCTCTGACTTTGTGTCCTTTGCAAATCCAAAATATTGCTTCATTTTTTGCAGCCACGTTTGTCCCACCGAGCTCATTCCATTACACAAAATCCACAAAGTAACAGATTCTGAAAGTTCCTGTTCCTCTGCCAAGGTCAAACAATCCTGCACATGATTGTCTGGCTCTTATCGTGCAAATATAAAAGGAAAAGGAAAGTGGTATGGAACCCTACATTAATCATTTTCCATAAAACAGAGTTCTGAACTGTCGAATTTCAAGATCTAAAATTATAATAATAGTAATTATAACTTACATTTTTTATACTGCCTTTCTGTGAAAGGACACTTTACATATTTAAGGGAGAAGGGCATATTTAAGGTGACAAAGATAAGGTATTGCACAGAAAAGATTTGTGCATTAGTTCTGGAGCCTGGAACTATCTCTTAATCTGCATTCGCACCAGAATGGGTTCATCCCATCCCTCCACCAACTCCGGTGAAAATCAGAAGTTTATCTATATTTTACTAAGCAAATAAACTCAGGTGAAAACCTCCTTGGCTGAGGTTGTAACTGTCTGCAAACACTAATGAATGTTAAAGCAGAGGCATTGAAAACTAGCACATTTAGTTACATTGCAATATTACATTTATAGTATGTTATTATGATTGTATTTATTATCGTTGTAGAAAAACAACAGCAGGATGTTTTGCTCTCCTCTCATGCAGGTGAGGTCCTGACTTTCCTCGACTCCCACGTCGAGTGTAACGTGGGCTGGCTGGAGCCGCTCCTGGAGAGAGTGTATCAGGATCGCCGGAAGGTTCCCTGTCCAGTTATCGAGGTCATCAGCGACAAGGACATGAGGTGACTGAATGAAACCGTACATGACAAACCACACGTGTTGTTTAGAGTAATGTTGAACGTCTAATTGAAGAAATGTCATTTTGGACTAAGAGCTTCTGTTCTGGCTCTTCCTCCTCAGTTATTTGCTGGTTGACAACTTCCAAAGAGGTATTTTCAAATGGCCTCTGGTGTTTGGCTGGAGCGCCATACCAGAGGAGTACATCAAGAAGAACAACATGACCATATCAGACCCCATCAGGTACCTCAGCTTTTTCCATGCTGATCCCCTTCTCATTCTTTTTGTTCACGCTTTAATGAGCTTAATAATTGTTCTAATCTTCCAGGTGTCCAGTTATGGCTGGAGGCCTTTTCTCCATCGACAAAAAATACTTCTATGAGCTCGGTGCCTATGACCCAGGCCTGGATGTTTGGGGTGGGGAGAACATGGAGATTTCCTTCAAGGTATAATCCTCAAGTTATTTATTCATGAATATTGGCCGTAGTTCGGGAAGTCCACAGATCTTCTCTGACGTGACTCCTCATCTGACATTTGAACAGATCTGGATGTGCGGAGGGGAAATCGAGATTATCCCCTGCTCTCGAGTGGGACACATTTTCCGAGGGCAGAACCCGTACAAATTCCCCAAAGACAGGCAGAAGACAGTGGAGCGCAACCTAGCGAGGGTGGTGGAGGTGTGGCTGGACGGATATAAGGACCTCTTCTACGGCCACGGCTACCACCACCTGCTGGACAAGAAGATCACCAACATCGGCAACCTCACCGAGCAGATCGAGCTGAGGAAGAAACTGAAATGCAAGAGTTTCAAGTGGTACCTGGACAACGTGTATCCAGACATGGTGGCTCCTTTAGTCAAAGCTGAAGGCATGGTATGTGAATTCTCTACAGCAACTCGTCTTGCATGTATGTTTACCTTTTTCTAAAAACTATTATCTGCTATTATCTCTTCTGTGACTCTTCTGTACTCTCCTATATCTGTCCCATGACATAGGTCTTACATTTCAGTCATCATGGTCCTAAAAAGGTCTCAAATAGTCTTTAGTTTAACTTTGAACGTTGAAACCTGCAGAAACTCAAACAGAGACTGTGGTTGTGCTCTTTATTCAGCCAGGATTCAACAAAGTAATAAAAACAGCAAAAAGTCCACAAATGTTTTCAGCAATGTTTCACTTTTGTAAAATTTCCATCCCCTCATTTTCCCTGTAGGTTTTCAACCTCGGCTTAAGAAAATGTCTCACTCTGCAGAAGAGCTCCCTGTCCTTCGAGATATGTGATCTCAGTAAACAGGTAGGTGTCTTTATTTAATTTTATTTGACTGCAAATAAATCATCTTTATTTGAGTACCTCAATTGTATTTATCCTTAGTATTAGCAAATGTTTACTATTTCAGATTTGTCTCAGTGCTTCTGAGGACAGCAGGCACATTTTAGTGTCATGACTGTGGAAACAGGAATAGACTTAGAGTTCAACACAGGACTAAAGCCACCATAAACAAGGGTGGAGCTCAAGACAAGACCGAGCTTTGCTAAATGTGGTCTTCTTGGATTCAGAGACGGCCCCGCTGAGCCATCATTCAACATCTTTCAGCATTTCACAGAGCGTAATCACATTCTTGGCACTCCTCAGTTTTTCTCTCTGGTTTTTAGGGTCAGCACTTTAATTACACCTGGATGAGGCACATTCGCCAGCAGGACCTGTGCATCGCTCCGCAAGGCAAAGGCAAGGATAGCAGCTTCGCTTTAGCATCATGTGACAACACCAAGCGTGAGCTACGCTGGTTCCATCAATCCACCAACTCAGCTCTGGTAGGTTAATATTTAGGGTCCTGTTTACTTTGTCTTCTATCTTTGTATTTTTCTCTTTCCCCTGTTCCAGCTCTGGCTCTGAATTCTTTGTAATCAAAGGTCAGGATTGCCCTGCTTCAAATCCAGGAAAAGATAATGTTGCCATGTTGTAGGATCAGTATTTAGAGGCTAAAGCTTTGTTCGTTAATCATGTTTCCTGTTTTGTCTTTGTGAAGGCGGAGCACCTCATATCAGAGTTCGTGTCCCACCACATGTGCCTGGAGGCGGGGCCGCAGGGTGACTCTGTTTACCTCAACCCATGTGTGCCTACCAACGCCTTCCAAAAGTGGCAGTTCACACACTACCACCACATTCAGTGACGAGACTGACCCCGATCTTCTTTTAAAGCGTTGAACAAGCACAACAGAGACGTTCAGTGGCCTGACTCTACAGAACGGTTTGTGGTCTGACCTCAAAACACAGGACCGCCGGCAGGAAGCTGGAGACGCTTCCATGGCAGTGACGTGTGGTGTAGAGCAAACGGTGTGGGGGGGTTGTGCAATGTTTCTAATTTCCTTTTTATTCATCAGCGTGGACTGATCTCGAGTTTATACATTTATAGGCCAGAGAAAAGAGAGAATGTTTTTCTGGTTATGGAGGTTTGCACAGGAAGTTTCAAATTTTTTACAAAAACATTCTTTACACTGGTATGTGGGGGAAATTATTACTTTTGTTTGGTTTTTTCAAAACTGGGCTACAGATGAGAGTTCATTCCAACTTATAATTTCTTTTATACAAAATTATTTCACTATACCAAAGATTTAAAAAAAGATGGAACAGTGCCTCATAGATTGTATTAATGTTCCCACTTGAGGAGCCAAGTAAAATAAGGAATTAAAATGCATGTAAAGTACAATTTATTTGTTTGTATAAAACGTGTCACATCTATTCAGGTGTGTTTTGTATTATGAGGCTCTCGGGTGGAATGGCTGCTTCTCTGGTTTTTATTGTTGTGTCATTTAGCTGTAGATTTTGTTTGTTGTCTGTTGTATGATTTTTTTTTTGACACTAGGGGGAAGTGTTAGATCGTTACACCATACAAACCTGTGCTGTGATTTCCTGATTATCACACTGTTAACCACAAACTGTTCGAAATGCATTTTCTTGAGAAAGTAAAACAGATGATTAAGATTGATCATTTTGCATATCTGTTTATTTATTTATTTTTTCCTTCTGTGTGGATAACTATGCACGCTTAGTTAATCACTCAAAAATGCTTCATTTAATAATTTCACTACTCAGAGTCTCTCCAGAGGTTTAGATCCTGAAGCTCTAATACCAAACAACATCTTACCTATTACATTTAGTCGGATTATAAATCTCAGAGCTTCTTATTCTTTTAATCTGCTCTTTAAATACCTGCCTTACATAATGATGTTTCCAGGTTGAAACCAAAACAGATGTAAACAGTAACAGTTAGTTTTGTGTGTCCTGGAGAGTTATATCAAACCACTTCACTGCAATCTACAAGATTTTAATACTAATAATAAATATGGAAACTGTGTGATACAGGATATACATGTGGTTCATATCCAGCAGTTTCTTACAAGTTCATAATCATGTACTCAAACTCCTCGACCTTCTGGCGGGTGTTGCCCCGGCGGATCTTGCGGTAGGACACTGTGCTGTACTTGGACAAGTTGAGGTGATCGAAGGACTTCTGGTCAGGGTGTTTCTTCTGTGCAGGCAGGGTGGAGTAGCCCCGACAGGTGGAGCCCTGATGAAACCCCACAGGATCATGGGAGTTGCGGTCCTGCTCAGACCTCTGCTTTTCCTTCATTTTTCTGTCACCATCGTCATCAGACATTTCTTTCAGAATGTCTGCCTCCTCACTCAGCCTCGCACTACTCTCAGTTACATGTGAAGATTCAGGGTTTGGTGTCTCAGCCTCTTTCTCCTCTTTGACTTGCAGATTTGCTGAAAAGAGAAAGTTTGGTTCACTGAAAATAAAACCTTCTCTTTCAAACAATTTCACAGCACAAAAGTACTAAACTCCCTCTTACCTGTGTCTGATGATACATCCGGCCCAGCCTGTGTTTGCACGTCTGCATTTGTACAGTTTGGCTGCAGAGATTCTCCACTAGTGCTCACTAAGGTCTCTGGACTTTGATCAGCCTCTGCTTCTTTAGCATGTGTAGAATCTGACTCATGCATGAGTTCAGTGTTTTGACTCTGGAGCTCTTGGCATTCCTCTTCTCGCTCGGTCTGGAGAGTCGTTGGCTTCTCCATCTCTAAATTTTCCTTGTCACCCTCCCTCTGAGGGACGGGTTCCACACCAGCATCACAACATGCCTCGCCTTTTACATCCTGATGGGATTGGTCCTCGTCGCTGTAGAACACAGAGTCGTCTCCCTCCTCCACTGACCACACATCTCTCTCCTCAGGTGGATCCAGGGTCTGCATGGCCCCCAGAGTGATCCCACCTATGATCTCCAGCACTTGGGACACCAGTGCGTTTTCTTCTTCTACTGTGAGTCTTGGGGGCTTTGGAGGCGCCTGGCTTGTCTCCATCTCTGTCCGTCTGGTTTTCTTTCCTCTGGGATGTTGAAAATAAAACGGCACGGATGCTCTTAGTTGTTCTTTGCAGAATTAAGCATCAACGGTTAAACATCCTCAGACTCGTCTGCTCCAGCGTTCCAAGTGTGTTATCAAAATACTTGTTTCTGTCCAGCATTGTCTAAAAGTAGGAAAAGAGTCTGTGTAGGGTCCAGCTCTGTAGTGGTACCATGTCATTCTGTGTGCGTGCTGAAATCACTGAAGAACAGGGGTTTTGTTCTGGACCCAACAAAGCTTCTTTGTTGCACTGGCATCTGCATATGGAGCGATTGTACTCATTCTCTAATCTCTGCTGGGTGACCACCTCTCTGTAAAGTTTTCAGTCTGGATTAACATTCCTCATATAGGTTTTCTTCACAGTATTTTACTGCCTGAAACAGTAACGTCTTTACACGTCCTGAAACCAAGCCCTGTTAGGTAATGTAGGTACCCTACTTTGAAAGAGTAACATTTATCTGAAAGCTGAAGCAACATTATCTTCTCAGTTAAAGATTTTACAATAGAAACATGTGACCATCTCATAAAATACTAACTGTTAAAGGTTAAATCAGTGGTTCCCAACTATTTTGGCTTGTGCTCTCTTTTAAAAGCTCTTGTGTCTAATTGAGGCCCTTTGCCACATTTCACCTGAAGTGAATTATTAACATTTCCACCAATTAATACATGGAAGCTCTAACACTGAGTCCTGTTAGAGGCCTCATTCTGTCAAAACGTTAGTTGATAGTTAGACTGGATACATGTCAACCATAACTATACCCACACTTCTCTCTCGCTCCCGCAGCAGAGAAGTATAACTTGTTACAGGAAACGTGTGGTGTTTCTTTGCAAAGGTTTTCATAGCATCTGTTTTAAAACCATTGTGCTCTCTCCAAAATAACCTGCAGCATCAAAGGTCCAGTGTGTAAGATTTTGGTGAAAGGGATCTATTGGCAGAAATTTAATATAAAATAATTCTTTATTTTTTCTCTAGTGTGTTTCATCTAAATTGCACGAATTGTTGTTTTCTTTACCCTAGAATGGGCCATTTAGATTTAAATACTTTATATTTATGTCAGGAGCGGGTCCTCTCTACAGAGGCCGCCATGTTTTTTTTTACAGTAGTAGTTTACTGGACAAACTAAACACCTTTTGAGTTTTTATGACAACTGAATGTTACCACAGGTTCTTTTTCATTTTTGGCAGGAAAGGGTGAGGTGAGGTGAGGTGAGGTGAGGGGTGCTCAGCTGCAACATGCAACTTCACCACTGAATGTTTCTCACTGAACCTTTAGCAGAAGTTTTAATTATAAGTCATGCCTTTGCTGTTGAAACCATAACTTTAAAAAGACTTTGCATTATTATCTGGTAGTGACAGAAAACACAGGTGGGTTTATAAAGCAAAACAAGTATATTATGTTTGAATGCATTTACAAATGGCTGTATCTCAAAATGCTAAAGAACGAGTGATTCAATACTTCACTTTACATTCATATGTGAAACATACAAATTTCAGCACATTTAGAATTTACAAAAAGCAGTTTCAGTTATTGAACAACGAATGTAGGCGTATGAAAATTATTTTAAGTAGTACTGGCACATACCCACATCCTGTTTTGAACTGAACAGACATCAATGCTGTGCACAGCTTTGTAAAAAGAATCATTCTCATGCATACAAGTCAGAATATGTTCATCTTAAACATCCAAAGAGATTTTTACCTCCACCAGGGAGGTTGTGTTTTCACCCGTTTGTATGTTTGCAAACAAGATAACACATTAACAACTTGGTGTATAGGGATACAGTCTGGGTGGGTTTTGGTGCAGACCCTGATCAGGGGACGGATCCAGGATTTTTTCTTTCTTTATCTTTGAATTTGGTTATTTTTCAACATTGTCACCAATTTCTCAATGAAGAAGTCATGGATCTTGATGAGAAAATCAGGCACATTTAGGAAACTGATGTGTGTCTGAAATTTGGTGCAGCTTGATGGAATTAAAGTGGACTGTTGGCCTTGGCAGAGTTTTGTGCTGTACTGAATGCTTATTGAGGTTGTATGGGTAAATCATTTCTTCTTTTAGACATTACAGTCTGATGCATACGTTAATTCAAACACTTCACAGTTTTTATAATGCTTTTGTTTCAGGCTCACCTCTAAAGTTCAGGTGACTTCACAATGTCTGTCTGCATTAAAGCAAACGCTTATGATTTTTAAGTTCAACACTTCACTGCAAAGTCTCACAGCATGAAAAACCTTGTTAGTATCAAGAGGAGACGAGGAGCATGTGAACGAGTCACTGAGTGTTTGTCTCCTCCTCCTCAACCGATCGGTGGAGTCCAGGAATCAATCTGAGGATGTGTTTGCGAACGCTGCCTCGCCGGCTTTTCCTAGGCAGGGTCCCAAACAAGGAGGAGATCTTCATATCCTCCCACGAGGGAGAGAGGGAGCTGCTGCTGCCGGCGAAGCTGGAGCTGCTGGAGCGGCCTATGGAATGTTGGTGATGGTGGTCGGAGCTCAGGGAGAACCTGCTGGAGATGTCCTTCGAGACGAAATCTCTGGAGAAGAAGCAGCTGTCGTCTAAGGTGCTGGCTGCACTGCTGGGGGAGCACAAGTCCCCAAACACGCTGGCCTGGTCACTGTCATCAGTCGCAGCACTCCTGTAACTACTGTCACTGGAAAAACGCCGGCTATGTGTGCGGCCTATGGGGGAGCTCAATGTGGAGTCCATGGAGAGGTGGAAGCTGCTGTCGTTCAAGTTACCTGAAAACATAATTAAGTACCAGTTAGTGAGAACTCCAGCTGCTGAGAAGTTTGAAAAAGGAAGTTCGTCAGCAGCTTCTACAGTACGTTCAATACTCAGGGGAACTCCTTCATCGAATTTAGCTTGAGCTCACACTTAAGTTCGCACCATTGACAGTGTGGCCTCAGACGACACTGGCAGTGAGAAAGGAAGTGTTTGTGGTCTGACAGCTGATAAAATGCTCACCTCGCATCAGGCCTTTTTCCTGTAATGTGAGTGCTTGCAACTCCACTAGTTTCTCACGAAGTGATTGCTGTACGGGAAAAAACAAACAAACACAGTGGTTTCACTTTAAGTAATTTTTTAACGTGAATTCAGAAGTTTTACCAACTTGCTGATTCTGTGAAATCATTGAAAAACCAACTAAAAACAAACCTTTTAAAAAGATATATGTATGGACGAGGTCTGTCGGTCCTTTTTAGTGTGCTTATGTGGGTACTTTCAAATTTTTATATTGATATTAGTTTTGTTTTTAGGTTTTATTAGTCTATATGTGTTATTGTTAATTTTCTGACTCTCATTGGGTCATCACATTATTTTATGCATGTTAATTTTGTATTTTATAATTTTGTGAGGCTTTAATGTAAGCCCCCTGGGCCTTTGCATTGTTTATTACATTGCATTTGGCATTTTTATATGTATTTTTTTCTGTGCCAAATGAAAATCTACAATCTCATACACATCATGAACATCTACGAAAGGCAGGGCTGAAGAGACACACCTTGAGCAGGTTCATCCTCTTCTCCAGCTCTATTTGCTTCACCACGTTCCCACATACAGTCTCCATCCTGGAATCACACACGTCACACACCGTTACACACGTCCTTTCACCACAAACGCTGTTATCGTGCTGTTTTTATCATTCACTGTCACTCACTTCAGACTGTTGCTTGATTCTCTTATCAGAGCAAGTATGTCCTGGTGAGACGAGCCTTCGATGCTGACCCCGTTGATGGTGACGATCACATCGCCTGCAGTGAATGAGGATGTAAAAAAGGGGAAGTAATCAATTACGAGAAGACAAGATTGTTTGAAATTGTATTTCAGCATCAGCATGTGTGAGTGGGTGGGTAGGATGCTTTATATTTATATAAGAGAAGTTTCTGTCTATGCATACCAGAAACATACAATGAGGTTTGACAGTTATCTAATGCGTGTGAAAGCTTCACCTGCGGTCAGGCCTGCAGTCTCTGCAGCACTGTCCGTCTGCACGTTGCTCACAAAAGTGCACATTTCCACTCCAGAGATGTTCTTCAGCTGCAGGCCGTACGTCTGCCACAAAAGACAAACGTGTCACAAGGGGCCAAAATAATCATTTCCACAAAAAAAAGCATAGAACATAGAATGAGCCTTAAAATGATCCTAAAATTACATCTTAAAAAGCATTAAACTTACAACTCATAATAGTTTTTATAAAATGTTATGAAGCTTACCTGAATTTCAAACCCAAATGTTTCATTGTCTTGCTTTTCCAGTACAATTGTTGTCCTGTGCAAATGAACAAGACAGGAACTTAGGAACTTCTCTCTATTGTTACTTTTAATCGAAAAAATTGCAAACAGAAAAATGCAATCTATAGTCTTTTACATGCAGTAAAGCTACAGGGGAGACTCAGACAAATTGCACATCAGGGTTGATAGATTTACCTTTGTGGGTCGGAGTAATCGACCAGTGAGTTGGACCGTTTGGGCTGCGAATGGATAAATGCAAATTTTTTCATTAAAGCAATAAAAAAGGATTTGTTTTGAAGCTTCCATGAAGCTAAATAATCGAGAACATGTTGATCCTATAGTGTTACATAACTCCACAGATTAAAATTGTTAAAAGGCTTTTGGGCAGTTGCAGGGAGCTGCTGTGTTTATACTTCACAGTTTGTGCCAAATCAGTGAAATGTTTCGCATTTTAAAAACAATAATGTTCAAGAAAAATCTAGCTTTAATCTTATCTCAGTATTTTCTGATATTTCCATAAACTTTCAATTAAATTTTTTCACTTTAGTTTTTTTTTTTAATCATATGCTACAATTGAGTTGTGGTCTCACCTTGCAGAATTGGGACAGTGAGCTTTTCTGCCGGTGTCGATCGTTGTTCCCCCTCAGTGAACGTCGGGACCAAAGAGAACTTTTCTTCCTGTGAGTGTTATCCACAATCTCTTGAGCGCCCTGGCGTTGAAGTCCATTGAAATTCATGGTGGACTGCATGGTGGAGTAGACCTCAAAGCACCATCCTCTACTGCTGCAGCACTGACTGTGTGGCCTCCCCCGCCGTGCAGCCAAGAACAAAATGTGTCAAAGCGGAAATCCACATCATGTGACGATTGTGGTGGACCTGCATCTGCAGTCTACAGCCTCACGTATACGCTCTTTCCTGTTAATCTAGTTAACACTTTTTTTTCTCTTTCTTCAGAAGGCTGGGTCTGTTGTTTTGAAAAGAAAAGGAAGGACAATGTTTAATTCCCCTTCAAACAGTCCCTTTCCTTTTCTGCAGTCTTAGCAATTCGATTTATGGTCTGTCAGAAATCAGTAATGCATGAGAAACTGCCACCTCATGCCTCCACCACAGGCACCTGCCCCCAGCCTGTCTCACTCACACTTTCTCAATGGGCTAAGCTCCGGTCTGAGCCCCGGGTCCTGAGTTCTGCCAGGCAGGGAGACTTGTCTTGTGAAGACAGACAAAAGGCTGATTTAGCTCAGGGCCATTGTCACGCTCCCCACACAAACAGCATGGGTCATTGGGCTGAAGGCATCAGACATGGTCGGATCAAAAGAAAAATCACAAATACACACACACACATACACAGGCCAGCAGTCAGTGAGACAATGGCTGATGGGTCAAAGAAAACTGAACTGCAGGGTAGAAACCTTCTCCCACTAACACCAGTGCCTTTAAAAGGTACATTGTGTAATCTGCAGTAAAAGAATATCACCTTTCACCGTGCACAAAACCTGCAAGGAAAAATCTCAGCCTCAGCACTGTACATATGAACTCAATGAAACTAGAGCAGATTATATCACAGCAACCCCCCTCTGCCCCACTGACCCTCAGCAGAGATGTTGAAACGACCACAGGATTTTTTACAGGTGACAGATCCACATCCCTGTTTCTGTTACTTTATGAGCTGATGTGTCATAATTACTTTGGTGAAAGCAGCACACACTGAGGAAGGAGAAGCATTTGGGTGAACTATCATTAAAGGGATAGTTCACAGAAAACTCACTCATTATCTATTCACCACTATGTTGATGGAGAGGTGGCTGAGTCCACAAAACACTTCTGGACTCTTTGTATAGTGTTTACATTTTTCTTCATATATATATATATATATATATATTTTTATTATTATTATTATTATTTTTCTCTATCTTAATGCCCTTCTGCTGCTGTAATGTCAAAATGTCCCCAGTGTGGGATGAATAAAGTCTATCCTATCTTATCTTAAACACAGTTGAAATAAACAGGGACCACTTCTTCAAACGTAAAAAAAAAAGAAAAAACATAACATGCCTCCATACTGCTCCTGTGGTGTAGTCCAAGTGTTCAGAAGCCCTGAAAAGGCATCATTTATACCGTGTTTTTAGCCTTTATATATATATATTTTTTCATATATATATATATATATTTAATGGAAGAGTTTATTTGTTGCTTGTTAATAAACATCAAATTATAAAAAGTAATTAAAATGATGTCCACACTTTGCTTTGTGTTTTTACCATGGGAAGGTGAAGTTAATTCCTTCAATCTGTGTGACCTTCTCTTAGCAGTAACAAGCAGCGCATGTAAAATATGTTAAAGCAGCAAAATCTTACAGGAATGACTCATCTGTGTAGAGCTGATGGCCTCAGCGCTCCAGTTGTATTTCCTTTGTCTAACGGACAAATCCACTTCATAGACAACAAATGTGAACGGAGCAGCAGAAGATAAAGCAAAGATGAGTCATGTCAGTTATGGTGCAAGAGTGACGCTTCTGAGACGCTCTGTGCTACATGCAGCAGTGTGCACAGCCCTGTGGGTACTGATCAACACACTGACCTCTCTCATTTCTATAAAGAATGAATAATGCAAGATAAGATCGGTTGCTGTGGTGTAAAATCCCCATCAGAAGATTTATATGTGGAATTTAAATGACTGGAAGGAAATAAAGGAGATTAGGTCTTATTTTATGAAAGCAGTATCACATTTATTCATATTTAGCTATGTCATACACAATATATAAAAAAGACACCAGTCAGAAATTGCACATGGTGGTCACTCCTCTTTGGAATGACGTATGTCTTTTATGCACATGTGTGCTCACTTCTTTTCGATGCCGTCTGTCTGATTCTTGAAGAGGCAGATGTGACACAACACACAAAGTATAAGCTTGGGTCTGCATGAAAAGCTAATTTACATTGCAGGTGTTTTCAGTGAGCAGAGGCAGAGCTGAATGCTTACATACTGCATTTTCAATATTTCCTATTCTTTGCAACACAGTCGAACAATAATTCCATCACTGATGTCGACTTATCATTTCACAGAAAGAAAATAAATGTTAAAAACTTGCACATGATCCATTATTCACCAAGAAAGCAACATGCTATCGTACAAAGCTTATTTTTCAAGAGGCAAATCTGCTGTCATGCATCATCCAGTACTTCTCATACTTTCATGACAGGAAAATATACACTGTGGTCAATACTGATTCTAAGCAGCAACAATGTGGACGTATGTAACTAAAGAAAATCTGAACATACAGGACATGAATCAAAGGAAACATGGAAAGTATTTTTTCGTCCACAGCACCAGTTTCACAGTTTCACAAACACTACATTGATTAATCAGAATCACATCTTTAAATAAAGGATCACTTCACATGATATGAACACACACACACGTGCACACCTTCACACGTGATGCACGGATTTACCCGTGTGCGCTTTCCATAAGCCTGTTGTGACAAGGCTTTACGGAGCACGTCTGACAGTGGCATTAGTGTGCAGCCCTAACCCAAACTGAGCTCCCCGACTGAAGTGTCTTTAACCAGTGCTAACGTACACTGGTAACACAGCACAATATTGCACAAGCATTTTTACCTCTGCCAAAGAGGTTGTGATTTCACCCATTTGTTTGTGTGTTAGCAAGGTTATGCAAAAACCAGTGGATGGGTTTCCACGAAATTTGATCGAGGAATTTTTTTCACTTTTTCAACATAGCGAGAATCGTTTTTCAACATTTTCCTTGATTTCTCACAGAATAATTAATGGATGTGTTTAGGGGACTGATATTTCTGAGTGTGTGCAATTTGTTGCTGATCTAATTAAAAATCTGGATCTAATGAATTAAACATAAGTGGACTGATGGTGCACTTCCATTCTAGTTATTATTTTATTATCATTGGTTTATCTCGTTTGTGTTGTCTTCATCATGCGGTATTACAGGAAATCCGCTGTAAAATTGCATCAGGCTCATAGTATAACATTTAAAATGTAGTAGTTTGTCTGAATTTCTTAAGTGAAAACAAGGTTGTTTAAATTTTACAATTTAAAAAATATTTCAAGGGTAAAAAAATATATTTGCGAGAACAACACACATTTACACATTAATGAATGAGCTTTAGTTTAACCAAAAAACCCAGCATTCAGCCTTCAGAGAGCAGCTCTTTGCAGCAACTGAAACTGTTAAATGTGCAAAATTCTTTTCACAAGTTCCTAGATAAAGCAGCACTATGCTACATTTACACTAAAATAGCAGATTCAAATTATGCTGATGGCACGCTTATGTGGATTAGAGAGAATGATGTCACTCTCACTCCCACTCCTCACCCTGAACGTCGGATCTTGCTCTATGTAACTTTGATGAGCTGGTGCAATCTCCTGTGAGAAGTGTGTAACTAACTGACATTCATTATATAAAAGAGCAATGATATTCAGCCAGGAAACTTAAAACTTGAAGAATTCTAAACAGTTTGGTGTAGTATTTACAGCAGCAGCGCTTAAAGATCAGTAAGCCGAGGATCGTGGGTAATATCCACTGTTCGGTTGTGTTCCAGTTCAGGCTTAACTTTGTTTTTTCTGTACAGGAAAACCACTGCAGAGGGCGCTGTTGCTCAGTTAAAGTGACATAGTGTTGCTTTAACTTTTTTTATATTAAACAGCACTTACATTATTACAGTACTAGTTGTCTCATGAGGCTTTTACAACGTGGAGACACCTCGACAGTCCTAACATCGTTACTACGAGTCAGTCAAACACAAGAGTTCAGCCTGAGGGTGGTGCCAGAAAAAATTGTTGTGTCAATACAATCTCCTTTCATTAGTTGACATTCTCTGTTAACCTCAACTGTACTCTCTTTATCTCTTGGCGCAAGATGAAAAGTCTGAGAATACAAAGTTCATCTTCAGGGGAATATAAACGTCGAATCAAAGGTTGTTCAAGTAGTTGTGGAGGTGTTTGGACCAACAGACTACTGGACCGACGTTTACAAAGTCACGGTGAATGGCAAACAATCAATAATCAGCACTAGATCACAGTTAAAAACAATAAAATCCTTGTATATATTCAGCTAAAAGACTTATTCCACTTGTAAATGCTCCACTGTATTCCTGCAGCCATTCTGGAGCTCTCAACAAAACCATTCATGTACAATAGTACTGGTATGTGTGTAATTTACCTAATCTAACTAGTCAGAGCCAGTCAGGGATTTCCTCTATAATCCAGTGTCCTTTGTGATTGTCAGTTCGCACACTAACTACTCAGCAACACTGTGTTTGCTACAAGATATGGCACAAAAAAACAAAACATCACAATGTGCAACTTCAAGCTTTGGCAACTTAAATGTGTGAGGTAGCAACATAATATGTATATATACATTAAACATACTTTCATTTCAAATGGCTCTTCCTACCTAGGGTTGAGCTGTTTGGTTCAGATAGGTGGTTTTAAGTGTCTGTGTGCAGAGCAGCCTCAGACACTTCCTACAAGACTTTGGCACCAAAGACAACCTGAGGCTCTCTGAGGGTGAACAGTGTGGTTGCATCCTGAAGAGGGCAGCATCAGGCTGATAGAGAGAGGACAGTTTCTCCCTGTTCCTCTTGTTGCACAAATCCTAGCTATTCTTTGACATCCTTGATGATGGACAGCTGGGACACGGTTTTCTTGACCCGCAGCGCAGTGAGTCGAGCGGCGGAGTTGGCGTACCAGCATTCTCTCATCACTTTGCCCATCACACGCATCGCCTGAAGTAGAAGAAGGAGATAGTGTCAAGAAGAGGAAAAACAAAATATGATCTCAGATGGACGACCTTGAATAACATTAATAATACGAGCTTCAATTACACAGTACACAGACTCTCCCATTGGTAATTAGAATATCACTCAGTAGAACATATACCAAGGTCCAACAGTCCCCTGAATTCAAACCAGCTGAACTACATTTCACACACTCATAGAACTCAAGGCCCTAAATAAATTATTCTCTGGAAAAACAATAAAAATGTTTAAAAAGGCCTTTTGGATAAACTGAAGCTCATTCATCATTGTGAAAAATGTGCCGTTCCCTTGAATATATATTTTTTACTCTACAACCCTATTTGTACTAAAGAAATTCAGACAAAAGAAAAACTTTGAACTGATGCAACTTTACTGCAGGAGTTCTGTAAAAGCACATAACAACAACAACAACACCAGGATAAATCTATGAAAGACAATATAAAACTAGAGTAAAGTGAATTCCTCCACCAAGGCCCAAACAGTCCTTCTAAGAAATAGTATTTAAATTCACAAAATCTGGATTTTTATTTGGATCTGCACCAAATTGCACACACTCATATAAATCAAACACCCTATTTCGCAATGTGAAAGAAAGTGAAAAAAAATCCCTGGATCTGCCCCCTGATCTGGATCCAGTTCGTCTCTGACTCATACCACATCTTTCCGCTTAACTTCGTGGAAATCTGTCTAGTAGATTTTGCGTAATCTTGCTTACAATCAACAACACAACCAACAAATGGACAAGTGGAAAACCTCACGAGAAGATACATCTTGAAAAGAATGATTACAGTGCAAAAGGAAAAGTTATCTGAAATGTATTAATATTTATATAAATGTGTTTGTGCATGTCATCAGCTGTTAGCTCATCATTTTCAGTGATATAGGACAGTGGCTCTCAAGTGGCGGTCTGTAGCACACTGCCAGGGGGTCCATGAAAAGTTTCCAGATTCATCCATTTAAATCATCATGATATATAGGTACTGTGTTGACATGGTGAAAATATATCTCTATGTCTAATGTCTCTCCAAGACATTTGTTCTTTCACATAACTAAGTAGAAGGCTACTTTATTCCAAGGGACATACATGAGAGGGTCCCCCAAATATTTTCTGTCTTCTATGTGGTCCTTTGATGACAAAAAGTTGAGAACCTCTGATATTGGAGAATGCAACGCCACCGAGGTCATAAACCCCCGGACCAGGCCCCATGCCACTGACTTTCTGCCAAAATCTTAGTTTGATTGAAGACTAGAACGTCTAAATGTGTGAGTGATGGGTCTGGGATGGTGGCAGAGGTTTGCACTTAAAACTTTACTTCTTTAAGATGATTTATGTGTAACCACAGTATGACAGGGTCAGTTCGGTTTGATGTGGGCCCCCAGGGTCCTTTCTACCTGAGGCCTCCAAAGTTCCACGAAACACTCCTGACAATATCTCACATGAGGCTACATATAGATTTGTTTTCCGTCTCACCTCACAGCTCTGCCACTGGTTGGGAATGCTGGGTCTGAGCTTCTGATCACACACCACCTTCCTCATGTCCTCGACGGCCGGATCTGAAGGCACAAGGTCGTAATAAGGCAGCTGGAAATCTTCATTAAGTCCTGTTAAAATAACAGAAAGTAAAAATGAAAAATATTGTTTACGATCGTGTTCCACACACAAGACAGATGATGTCCAGTGTACGAAAGACAACATAAGGTTGCACCGTGACAAACTGACACAATGACTGAGTGTTATTGGGAAAATTACATTTGCATCAGGGGTGTCACGGATGTACTGTTAGAGCCAAAGCATTCCTCATTACTTATCCATTAAAGTATCTTAATATTTATCGATAAACAAGTGTGTGTGTGTTGTTTAAGATACCCCTAACAGAGCATCTTCGGGCCAGTTCCCAGAACACCAGGCCGAGTGAGTAGATGTCCGCTCGCTTGAACGATTCAAAGTTGCTCATATTGATCGTCTCGTCCAGAATTTCTGGAGCCATGTACCTGCAGAGGACAAAATGATTAAGGTCTAATGTAATAAAAAAGCCCAATAACCCTCACATTTCCTTCATTAATTTGAGTGAGTGGGTTTGTTGTAAATCTCTGTCCCATGTTCTCTGAATTCTGAACTGCACAACACATTATCATCCTCTAAATATGGAGCAGAAAAACAAGCAGCATTTAACAGATGTAATGTTCTGCTGGGTTTCAGGTTTTTTTTCATTTCTGTTCATTCAAAACATGTTGATGTCAGAGAAATTCAAAAGCTTAAGTAAACTGTTCGATGAATAGAAAACGTAGCACCATCAAAAAAAAATGCAAAGACCTTTCTTTGTGTGTGTGTTGCCGTGCGATGCATATCGAACCTTTTCGTTCCCACTCTGTGGTTGGGCGGTATGTCGATGGTGTTGGTGTTGGAGTCGTGTTTGACCGCCATACCCAAATCTGCGATGACCGCTGTGCCGTTGTTCTTCACCAGGACATTTTTGGACTTGAGGTCTCTGTGAGCGATGGCAGGTTTCCCTTGAAGAACCAACAAAGTGACAAATACAGTTATAACCCCTGAAAATAGATTCATGTTAAAGCAATTATTGTAGATCTTTCACAGATGAATTATCTGAAAGCTTTTGCAGAATTAATGAGTAATAAAACATCTGCACTACATCTGTTCTGTAGTATTCTGATATGTAAGTACCACACCCCAACAATATGCAGGTGAAAGCGAAGGATGAGTGGATGTTGGTACGGGGAAAAGGTGGATGGATAATTCTGAGGCAAAGAGAGTGTAATAAAGAAAGTGTGAACTATAAGTTTTAAGAATATGTTTTCTGTTTGCAGCTTCTCCAAAGTGACGGTTTGCTGCTTTTCTCTGGTGCCACTGTGGCACATTTTTGTATATTTTAGACTTGAGGGCAAATAGATTAATTCAAAAAAGTAATTAACAGATTAATTGTTAATGAAAACATAAAATATCTGCAGCCCTAAATTAGTCTCATTTATCAAACAGACCATTAGAGCGAGAATCTGAGTTATGATAATTCTTCTGTTTTGTCCAAGGAGATTTTCACTGTTCACACAAGTGTCCTTTAAATTCTCTGACATGACGTCATTGTCCCAGGATTCATGCTCTTCATTTTACTAAGTGCAGTCTCACCCTGCGTGCCAATGATTTCCATGTGGAGGTGTGCCAGCCCACTGGCTATTGATAACGCCAGGACGACCATGCCCTCCATCGACACCGTGTACCTGTTCAGGTAATCATACAGGGAGCCGTGCTCGTGGTACTCCGACACCAGCCAGAGCTGAGTCCACAGGCCGTTGTCTGCAGCACACGGTGAACAACACAGTCACATGTTGGGAACAGCTGCAGCAAATAACTGTATAGTTGAAAGCATAGTGTATTTTAACTCATCAAGATATTACAGCTATAGAGCTCGTTATACACCTTTGCTGTCTGCAGCAATGAATCCCAGGATGTTCTCATGTCTGAGCAAGATGGTCTGATAAATTTCTGCCTCACGAAACCAGGACCTCTCGTCCCTGGTGGAGAAGATCTTCACCGCCACATCCTCTCCTCGCCACTTGCCCCTCCACACCTCACCGAATCGACCCTTCCCAATAGTCTCCTGCAGCACGATGGTCCGAGCTATGGTTCTTTGCACCAGCAGTGGCAGACCTGTGAGACGCAAAGCAAATATTTCCACCAGGACGGCTACGAGCAGCAGAGAAAATGTGTCTGTCTCAGTAGAGGGACTATCATTAATTCAAGTCACTAAAACATTCATATAAATATGCAACCATTACATATCACCAGCCCAGAATAAATCAAACAGTGGAAGGTCACAGCCTGCAGTCGAGACAGCTGCCTCTGTTCTCTCTCACCTGATCCAGAGCCCGAGGTGCTCATGTCGTAGATCAGATCTTGGAGACATTTGTCAGCTGACATGATCATCTGGTCATCCAGGGGCTCCTCGGGGTCCTGCTTGCGGGCTCGACTGTAGGCACAGTAGTGGCCCTGCACGATGAACACACAGAGAAGGACCCCCACACACAGCAGGCAGGACGGCACCAGGATCACCACCGAGAGCTGCAGCCTGCTCCAGCTTTCAGGTTCTTCCAAAGGCCTCTCTGACAATAAACACAAATAAATATGTGACACAGCATGACAATGACAATCAAATCCATATATAATATTTGATCTTATTATTTTAGCATACATTTATACAATCAGTCAGTTGAAGAGATTTTGTACTTCAGGTTTTTTGGTCATGGAACTCCCTATGATTGTTGCAGCCTCTGGTGGTCATTGTTGGTTATGGCATTGAGTGAGTTGCACACAGATTGTGGGTTGAAATCATTCACTGGAGTAAACAATATATTTTATTGGTGTTTCATCTCAATGCTGAAATGTGCTGACAGCCTACTCTAATGTACTGTATCACACCTTTCAGACACAGCCAGTTGGCAATCTAAACATTTTGAGAAATTAAAAATGTAACATTTAGCAGATGCAAAGTTATGGCTGCCAAAAAAACTGTCAGACATCTTTTTTTTTCCCCAGAGAGCCACAAATTTCAATCAGGCACTGTGTCAATAATATTTAAAGTCCTCTCCAAAAAGTCAGTCTTTTTTACCTCTTCATTTAAAAAGGTGATGGAGAGCAGATGCACTATGAGTGAGAGCTTGTACTAAACTGTGCGTTTGGCAGAACAATGTAACCTGGCATCTCTACCACCGACCTTCATTCTTTCTGTGTGGGTGGACAGTGGAGATCTCGACAAACAAAAACATCAGAGCTGGTGGGCCAGTGGTGATAATAAGAGATTTACTGATATGCTTACAGAAGTGCTCACAGTGAACACTGTGGTAGCACTGTAGCATATACTATGATTTAATGATAGGTCTGGGCCGGGAAACGCAAGGAAGGCTGCACTTTGAAATACTAACTTCAGAAGACACCTTGATTGTTGTAATCTTGTGAGTAATCCACCTGAGGAATGATCGCAGGAACTAATAACTCTTTTAATAAGAAAGTATTTAAATAATAATAATAATAATGCAGATTTTTAAAAACATAAAACCTAAGAACGTTTTTTTAAAGCGCTTTCTCCGTAAATCTCCAAAGCATGAAATGTCCTCCCCACGAGAGCAACGTGCAACATCTGCAGATGGCCCAATGTCCAAAGCAACACGTCCTGAACTAAAACACAGTTTCCTAAGACATATTTAGCCTTTTACCTAAAAACATATCCTGCCATGTGTCCAACTGGAGCTTGGCAGATATGGTGCAAAGGATTTACTCTTCTCTGGCCCAGTGGAAAAAAATGATTTTCTACAGACTGTCTGGGACAAGGAGGTGAGCTCAGCATCAATCTTTATTTTTCTACTTATTTGTTTGACTCAAGTAAATAGTTTGAAGTACCAAGAACAGAGGAAGACAAGAGCAAAACACTGAACAGCAGCTGCACAAACCTACTGCAAGTGAACTCTACTGTTAAGTCCTGCAGAGAAGCACTGATGGACATGAAGTTCCCATGTACGAAAAATAAATAACACAGCGCATGCATGAGCTCATTCACTGATATTGGAACAGACCCATTGTCGTGTTCTCATTCACAGTCAGCACCATCACAGCTTCAGGCCGTCGCCCCGACCCGTCTGATCAACAGTCTGCAGCACCTCTCACTTTAAATCTCCTGTATGACCTCTGCATTTTATGAAAGTGACCGTTCTCTGACAATCCCTTTACATTTTTTAAAGTATTTTAGCTGCATATATCAGAAGAGGAAAAAACAGTTCTCCTCATTTATTTGGTGTCAAAAATTAAGAATGGATGAATGTTTGTTTCACACGTTGACCAAGAGTAAATATTGTCAATACTTAAAAATGCAGAAAGAGGTGCAGGGTTCTAAGAAACATGTGTAACTACCCGAAATATGAATATAGCCACCAGAATATCCAGCAGCAATGAGACAAACATTTATTTTACAGAACAACTGATTAACTGAGGAAATGACCACGGGATTAAGAAATAATATAAACAACTTGGATGGTTAGTGGAATTTTAAAATCAGCCTGAAAATGAGCGGCTCAGTGGATTGGCAGAGCTTCACCTAATAGTTTTGCAGGGTCACATTGTAAACATTTCAAATTAAATCACAATTTAAAGACTCTCACGCCATGGCACTATGATGCTGTGACAAAGTTGTGCTTCATTTCTATTTCTTTTCAAGCTGCACTAATCAATACTTTTATATGAACAATGATTAAATGACTATATAGTATGTCAAGGGAAAGTTAAGTTGACAGACCCAGACATCATTTTCATTAAGCTCTACAGGTCTCTTCAGCTATAAGGAGTTTTCAAGCATCTTGTTTTTCCTTTTGCTTTTACAATCAAACATTGTCTGAGTTCGTTCATTCTCCTCTACCACAGCAGCTGTTTCGCAAAAGCAAAAGTTCTGTAAAAGTGTACTCAACCTTCACGGCACTAAACACTGCTACAAACAAATATATATGTGGACAGAAACAAAACTGCTAACGTCACACGTGCGCATTTTCACTTCTGTTCCCAATGCGGCAAAGAAAATTAATATTAAAGAATATATATTAGAACATGGGACAAGATGGACAATATCCCTTGTATGCTCATATAAAGTCAACATGCTCTAACGTGCAGAAATGCATCACATTCCTCACACTGTCTACTGCTGCAGCTCCTCTCTTCAGCCTCTGTCTGGGGTTTAGCACCTGTCTCTTTAAGGCCCACCCTCCCAATGAAGCACGGTCTGCTCTGATTGGCCAGCTGGCTCCCTCTGTTGTGATTGGTCAACTGTTACCAGTACATGTAGGAACTATCAGCCTCCACTCTCACTTAGCCTGGCTAGTGACGCCACGATGGCCAGACAAAGCCAGGTATTGACCGAACTTCTGACGCGGTGTGTCGGGAGCAGTGTCTTCTGTGGAGGGGAGGAGCTCCCTGTACTGCAGACTTTGGGCTTTTTTAGCTTTAAAGAACCTAAACATGCAAAAAAACTATAACATACCAAGAGAAAGTCAACTGAAAAAGCATAAAATGCCCTTTAACAAATCTGATTTACTGTATATTGTTAATGAATGATCCAATTTACATGAGCCCTGTGTATCCACAGGTGGAGAGTAA